GATGTGGACCAACCCTACTCTGTGCTGTCCCCTCCATTACACTGTTAACTGGATTCTCCTCACCTCCCTAACCCAACACCTTATAGCTCCTCAAGTCAGCCATTAAACTGCTTATTTTTTGTCTATAACTCTTTTGACGACCTAATTTATTTTCACTGCTGTAAATATCATGTCTATTGATGACTCTCACATTTTCTCTTCAGCTCAGATAGCCTCACTGAATCCCGTTTTCATGTACTGACTCATACTGGACATCTCCAACTTAACCTGTTACAAAGTTCCTACTGTTCCTTCAAAACCTGTTTCTCTCATGGTCTTCTCCATTTCAGATAAATGCCACTCCTTTCTACTAGCTGCTCAGAAAAAAACCTTGGAATCATCCTGGCCTGCTTCCTGCCTTCCCCATTCAATTAATCATTAACCACAGATCCAAATTTGTCATCATCTCCACCACTGCCTGCTTGTCCAAGCTTCTACATCACTCATCTGGTCAACAGCAATAACTCCCTACTGAATCTCCCTGCCTCTGCCTGCTAACCCTCTCTCCATACCACTCTCATCTATTCTCAACACACAAACAGAGGGACTCCTTTGAAATATAAGTTAGACCATCCATTTGTAAATGGTTCCCATTTTACTCAAGGTGAAAGCCAAAGTTTTTACTGTCTTTCAGAGTCTTTCATTATTGCTGTCCCCACCCTCTTCATCATCATTTTTCTAACTTCACTTTTAAAGGTTTTCTACTCAATTCAATCTAAGCCTTATGCTTTGAAGGTGCCCAGAAGCCATGCTCCAAACGTTAGCACCTCTGCAGGAGCTGTTGCAGCTGCCTGGAATAGTATTTCTCCAGTTATTTACATGGGTCACTCCCAGGTATCATTAGGATCTTTACTCAAACAACAGTTTATTCCTCTCTAAGCACCCTCTCTAAAATTTCAACTTTCCAAGACTTCCTATCCCCTTTCCTATTCTATTTTTCTCTATATCTTATATCTTACATTTTTTAGTGGTTAGTTTTATCTCCCATCTGTCTGATTAAAAATGTAAACTGCTTGAGGGCAGAAATTATTTCTTTTTGTTCAATGATGTTGTTTTTCCAACTTCAGAACACATTTAATGAATAGTTGTGAATGAATGAGACTTGAAAAGATGTGTGTATTGAATAGATGTGAAATAGTTTTAAATGAATGAATCTTGTTCACACGCCTCATTTTACTCTGTGGTGTATCAATACCTATACATACTTTCCTTAAGCTATGGGTACATTTCCAAACCAATATCACACACAACTTTGTGCATGAAAATGAGAAAAGGTGGTTAGTTATACAAATACCTTAGGGTACATGTATAAACATTCTGTGTGTGTGTGTGTGTGTGATTTGTGCAGCCCTTCAGTAGGCCAGAACATTCCTTTCAACCCATGAGGAATTCTGTAAATGCCAGTGGAGCATTCACATACTTGTGGAATTCTCCAGCCATGTTTATTATGGAAGAGTCTAGGGCCAGGACATTTAAGGACCCTCTATACCTATTTGGTAAGGGGTGACTGCTTCCCAGACCAAAGTAAAAAGCTTATCAACTGAACATAACCCTCTACATACTACAAGTTAGGAATTTATACAACATCACATTTCTAACCAAAAAATAGACTTTATTTTTAAAAAGTACATAACCATATTTTACCCAAAATATTTCTTACATTTGCTCAATGTGTTTTTAAAATACTTTTATCTATCTTTCTAATTTAATTGTATATTACCAACTTATTGCTCTCACTAAGCATCCGATATTGTCCACTATGTTTAGAAGTGGTCAATTCTGTTTTCTTCCCTCTTAATTCTTCTGAAACACTTAAAAGCCAAACTAAGTGAATACTACACAGATTTTCTGTCACTACCAAATTATGGGCTTGGATAGTCATGAGCGTGGATGAAACATTTGGTCAACATTGTAATGCTCTCAAGCTCATACTGCTGTGCCTGATCAGTCAATTCCCAGGATCTACTGCTGACCAAATTGCCAGCTCACTCCCCGCTCAGGCCCACTGGCCCAATAAACAGTCAGAGAATTCTTTCCATCCCTCACGTACACATCAGACAATACTGACTTTCGAGTTTGCTAAATCCTCTGTTCCTGGAAACTCATCCCCTCTCTACCTGTTCAAAGCCCAGGTCAAATGCCATGTCCCCCTTGTAGCCATCTCTGATGGCAACTGACTTTGTTGCCATGAATATATCCTTACTCAGTAAAACCAACAATAGTTGAATTTTTTTTCTTGCAGGATGTATCATATTTTGTCCTGTATTATAGTTATTCCTATAGATATTTTCAGTACTAGTAAGTCCCTCTGGGGAAGGGTCATTGCTTTTCATACTTAAATCCCCAGGCTTAGGGCAGTGTGCACCATAGATGATCAAGAGGTGATTATTTTGTTAGTGAATGAATTACAGAAAACAGACTATTTGGCTAGTTTTCAGGATTTGAGCAATTTGTTCTGAATTCAGGGCATTATGATGCTATCCGTGTGTTATCATGCATCATAATTTCTTATTTTATGTCACTGATCTCTTTAGTAAAAAGTGCTACCTTGTTCTTCCCAAGTTCCCTTTCTTTTCTCTTGGTAGGTGTCTAGAGATTATCCTGAAGCTGTGTCAGCTTAATTAATAATTTACCTTTAAGTCACTGAGACTCAGTACCTGGCTTAATATCCTGAATAGGTATCAAGGCCAATGACATATCCTGCTGAAGTCATCATTTCTCCTCCTACCCCTTAAATAATGAGAGGTTTAGGCCAAAGAATTAATTTCATCTCCTCCTGGGTTCCCTTGATCTGTGACCTGGTGCAGTATTATATAGACCTAGGTTTCCCTTATAAGAGAGTGATTTGAACACTTAAAAGACCAGAAGAGATCAGTATTGACAAACTCAAATACCTGGTGGTTTAAATCTGGTCACACAGGGACTGTGGAAAACTGGGGAACACTTGCCCCATCTAGAGGAAGCACATGCTGCCCAGATCTAGCCAATGTGCTTTCCATGTGGGAATGTGGATTCACTATTGCCAGATCTCATCTTCCTGAAAAGTGAGATAATTGATTTTTATAAAAAAATTTCCTGGATGTTAAATATTTGCAACTAGCTCAATTTTGTTTACCACTGCAGCACAAACAAAACACATTTGCATGCTGGACTCACCTGTGGCTGTTAGTCTGCAGCCCCTGGATTAAAGAAACTATCAAGGTCAACTATATCATTGGGTTCTACAACTCTGAATAAAAGACCAACTAGTGTTACAACTTCTAAAGTAAATGAAACCTCTTTAGAAGGATCTTAGAAGATACAAGGAATGATCCAGATTGGTTGAATAAAATGAAGACTCATCTGCTTGCTCATCTCCCAACACTATCCTTAAGGAGCAGTTCCAAAATCTGACTGAAACAAATATTCCACAAGAACCAAGTTAATAAGAAAAGATGCTTTTATGGATACCTCCCCTGCTCTACAGGGTATGATGCTAAGATGCTTAGCATTCCACTAGATGCTGAGGACATGTCAAAGTGCCCTAAAACTTTTCATTAAAAGGAACCTTAAAGGCTATTGGGTACAATCCTTAAAATGACACAGCTGATGCTTCTGTTTAAGGACGCCCACACCACTCACTCCATGTCATGGACAGTAAGGGAATCAGAGACCTGCATTTGGCTTACAGCTCTAATGATCACTGGCTGGTGGCCTCGTGCACATTATGTCATCTTTCTGGGATTCAGTTATCTTTTTTTGAATAACATAATTGAGTATGTCATTTCTTCGAGATCATTACAGCTAGACAAACACTAAGAATAGCATACAGAAGTCTGCCAAAGATTATGTAGCATTTCAACCCATGGGATAAATATTAGCACTGTCATAACAAACTCAAACACAAACACATATATACACACACACACAGAGAAAATATTTCCTCCCACAACTAAAAATGATACAACCTTTTTAAGCATGAAGGGAAAATGATTGCTAAAATTAGCATCTTAAAAAATAAATGATGTAGTTAGTGAATATGAGATTTTCTTAAAACTGTAGAACAATAAGATATAACAATAGCTGTCATAAGAGAGGAAATTATAGGAGTCAATTTGAAGGGATTTGGGGGTGTTTTTTCTTCCTGTGGAGATTTGTTTTTCCATATATCATAGAAAGACTCTAAAGCTAAATATTTCCCCAGGACTTTTGTGATCCATGCCTCATAATGCTCATAATGCTGCTGCTGACATTAGGAGAGTGCCATTTGGCCCAAATAGAAGCCTTCTTATACAGACAGCCAGGCCATGTTTCAGGCTCCAGGTAGTCATTTTCTTGCATTTGCATATCACTTCTCAGTTTATCAGGTCCCTTTACATATATACTCTCATTTATTTTCTAAAAATAGCCCTATTTTTATTTATTTTAATCATTATAAAATCTCTTTCAGATAAATTAAAAAATATCCCTCCCAACCTGCCTACAAGGAAATAATACACTTTGCCATTTGACTGTTCAGGAAGTCTTTCCACTTCTCTTGGCTTTTTGAGGTAAGATATGACCTGCTGGGTAGTATAGAAATGGGAGAGAAAAGGAGGAAGCAAATCTAATCTTAGTGCTAGCCTGCTGATCAAACATGAACAAATCACTCCAATTCACCAAGCCTCAGTTCACTAAACCACTGAGTAGAGAAAATTATACCTATCCTACTGGTTTTATAATGCAGTTAAGATAAAAATCAAAATATAGATAAGTATGTCAGGTAATTGAACAGACTGAGAAATGCTGGTCCACAAATCTCATCAACCTGGGCAGTGAGGAAGAGTGGACTGTCACATGATCACGGAAAATGATGGGCCTACCTGGAACTGCAAGGTGGTGGTGGAAGTGACCAGAAATGCAAGCCAAGAGACAGGAGCAATCAGCTCACAGAGAGAAACCCTATCTCTTCACAGAACTGGTGACAGGTCATCTGGCCTTACCTGACTAGGCTGTGGCTGGTCCTCACAGCTCTTCTTTCTCTTCTTGGATGAAGGAGCTCAGGCACAGGCAGTGGTCAGTAGAGGTGTAGCTGACACAGATGAAGCCAGACAGGAGGGTGCCCTGGTGCTGTCACCCACTCAGCATGAATCTCGCCTCACTGAGTGGTCTGAGAGGTAAGTGCTCAGTCACAAAGGGTCAGTGAAAGGACTGGGGATGTTTACAGGGTGGAACTCAACCTGTCAGGGACAGGGAACTGGGTTTGTGGGTGGGGCCTTTCTTGTTCTACAGGGACACACCTCTCTCTCCTGTCCTCTCTTTCAAGAAGTCCTGGATATTTCTGCCAGCTTCCTCTTCCATTGAAATCTTCTCATGGTGTGAGCAGGAAATCTTCTGTCCATTCCTCCATGGCATGTGTGTGCCCCCAGTTAGCTGTACGAAAGCTTAAGTCTGAAGCCTACAATCCTATTATTAAAAATTTTTGATAATGACTTATTAGATATTTGTGATTTTGAACATCATCACCACTTTTATATCAGAAGTATAGAGGACCTATAGAGTAGTATATCTCCAAGAATAAACACAAACACAACACAAGCACTTGGAATCTCTGGATGGTAATCCTATTAAAGTGTCTGCCTTGTGATATTGTTTTCATTTAAGTGTATGTCCCTTTCACTAGACTGTGAGCCCCTTGAGGATAATGACTACATCATATTCTCCCATATAGTCCCCAAGAATATTATCATGTAGTAAGTACTAAATAAACACATATTGAATTAATGATGATTAATTAATATGTATTTAATGAATCCCAATTTGCCATTTAATGGCTTTACACCCTATGGCAAGTCATATTTTATATTCTGAGCTGATGTATGTTTTTAAGATTTTATTTATTTATTCTTAGAAAAATGGGAAGGGCACTTATTTATTTTTAGAGAGAAAGGAAGAGATAGAGAAAGAGAAGGATAAAAACACTGGTATGAATGGTTGCCTCTCACATGCCTCCAACTGGGAACCTGGCCCATAACCTAGGCATGTGCCCTGACTGGGAATTGAACCAGCAACCTTTTGGTTTGCAGGCCAGTGCTCGATCCACTAAACCACATCAGCCAGGGCCTAAGCTGATGATATTTTTGGTCATGTATAAATTGGGGGTATCATTTCTCTTTCAGAGATGTTGAATTTGAAAGGAAGCATATGAAAATTAACCCAGAATAACAATAACATAGCAACAATTGCTACAAAATGTAATTGAAACTTAATGAATTGATTTCAAAACCCAAATAAGAGTTTTCTGTATAAGAGAGCCAGTATGAAGTATAAACTATGAAAAGACATCACATGCCCACCTATCTTACACACCTCCACAACGTCTAGGACATCAGTTTATGCTTTCATTCAGCAGGCCGTTGACTGGGCAACTATCTTGGCCATTCTCAGCTTTTAAAATAGATGAGGATAGACAAAAATGAATGAGACATAGTCACAGGCATAGATGGATTTTTGGAAGAAAGAAGAGGACAGAAAACGAAGTGCTGTATATGTAGGATTGAATTAGTGTATGTTCCATCCTAAATACTCTATTCCATTCAGCAGATTCTGTCCAAGTCAGATTGTATTTGTTTGATGACTGAAGAAACTGGGGTGTACTAAGACACTCTTCTGTCTGGATTCCATGCTTTCATTTTCTTCTTTTAAAAAGAAACCTAACAGACACTCACCCCTCAAAAATAGGTTGGGCACATGGGAGGTCATGAAGAGATTTCATAGGAAATAATGTTCAAACTGCCAATTTACCTAAGGCCACCTTTAAAAAAGTCCCAATGAGTAAATAGTCTATTTACATACCTTCACAATGTCTAGGATATAGTCATTTATACTTTTTTTCAACAAGTACTTAACTGAGCAACTGTGTTGGTAATTCTCAGTTCTCAGAGGAGACAGTAAAGAAAAATGAATTAGACACCATCTCTGGCACAAGGAGTTCAGGAAGATGAAATGTGTAGAAAATAATAAGCACCAATGATAGGATTATAACAAGCTGTGGGAATCTAGAGGAAGGAGCAATCCAGAGAGGCTTCACAGAGGAAGATACACTTTTAGATCTGGTCTGTTAAGGAGACTTGGGAACTTAACAGGTAAAGATGTGGAGTTACATATAAATGTTAACTGGGAGATGCACTGAACTACTCACTGTTCCCTGATCTAACTGATTTACCTCTTCCTTACTACAGACCCGAGGACAAAAAGGGAGTTTCACATAACTGGTATCTAGGTCACTCCATTTATACACCACAAAACTATAAGGCAATTAGAAGTAATTGCAAGACAAATACTGTTCCCACTCAGCTCCAAGTGTCTGTATGATGGCTCAGGAGGGGGCAAAAATGCAGGGGGAGAGCTGAGAGATGCTGGATCCCAGCCTGGTCTCTTAAGAGTGGGACCAACAGATGCATTGCTGTTCGAAGTGTGTTATTTTAAAGGGCAAGAGACTCTGTGAAAAGACATCACATGTCCACATGGCAGCTATCTCATTATCGCTGTATCTCCAGTGGCTGCTCAATACTTTCCTCAGCTCATGCTGTGCTCCTGTCACACTGTACCCAAGCAATAAATGGAGCAGGGAACAATGTGTCCAGAAAAGGCACCAGTGGTAAAAATAATGTCACACAGAAAACCTGGGCCTGGCCCCTCGTCTGCCACTCACTGAAATCAGCAGCTAGTAACTTAGTCTCCTCCAGGCCTCAGTTGCTTCTTCTGTGCAATGGGAATTATAATGCAGACCCCCACCCACCTCCTTGAGCTGTTGAAGAAGAAAATAAGATGCTGGAGGTGATATAAGCTTTGTCAACACTAAGTATTTGCATGAATGTACAACACTATTATGATGGGACCTATGATGACACGTGGGATTCACCTCATGTCTACTATTTCCAGTCACATCATAGACTGTGTACAGATCTGGCGAGTGACATGCTCAACATCTGAGGAGCAGAGAAGCACAGAAAAATTTTATTACATAGGTTCCTTGACATTATTCCTCTTGGTGTCTTATCTTTTCTCCACCTTCTATGACAGCCTTTGTAATGTATTTTGCTTCCCCTTCTACTTTGATCCTACTGTCACTAAGAGAGGATGTAAGTGTTACTTATTTGGGTTAGAAAACACTGGTTTATGGGACCTCCTCTTCTCCTGACATTTTTCTGATGGGCACTGAGTGACACCCCAATAATCACACAGCTGGCCCTCGCCCTGGCCCCAGCAGGGCTGCTCTCCTACCTACATGCCTAGGGCAGTGTGTGGGCAGGAGAAAGTATGAGCAGGCACAGATCCTCAACAGATCTGAACCAAAACCGCCTCCATCCCAGCTTTTTCCCCCTAGAGGGTCATGCAAAGAAAGACTGGTTCATAAATGTGCATCACCACGGTTAAGTAGGCACTGTCTACAAGAAGCCCACATGTGACTTCCCAGCTCTGCCGCATCCCCGGGAGGCTTTTGGGAAGAGGATCACAGTGATGATGAAGATACTGGATCTAGTTGTGGAAGCAAACAGGACCTTACAGACAGGTTATCCACTGAGAGCTGTATGAATGGAGTTCACAAACTATGTAGCTAGTCCTGTCCTTCTTTTGAGCTCTAAAGGCACACAGCACACATCACTAAATTACACCTTATTGTGATTAGTTTTCTCCCCAGATACCTATCTGTCTACTGTCCTTAAGGTACTGGCCTTGTCTTAAACATTGTTTTAGGATCTAGCACAATAAAATGTTAACAGAAGTACTCAAGAAATGTTGGATGGATGGATGAATGAACAAGCACACAAAAATATGAATTATTCTGTCTTCCTTTATAGCCCCATCAGGCCTGGCCACTGGAGAGATTCCAAGCAGGAGAAGGAGAAACAATTAGTTTCCGTGTGATTTTGACAGGGGACTAAATTCAGCCCAAAGCATCTTTTTTCATCTCTCTATTTACTCTGGACAATCTGTCCCTTATCAGATGAGCTCAAGGCTGGTGGAAATATGCGTATTTTATTTGAAAATATCTTCTTCGTGCAGTTTTGTTTTGCTGCCGAGACATTTGTCTGCTTTGCTGCATGTTGTGTATCAGATAGGACTCAGACAAACTGCTTTGGCTTTCTAAACTGTTTTGTTTTCTACATTCAATTATGATTTATCTCATTTCCCTTCCTACATCTCACTCTTATTCCCAAGTTCCAGTGCAACCCACAATGACAGAACAATTTCATTGTTACTTAGCTTCACTGAGGGATAAAAAAGGTATGGTAGATAAAAGGCTTACGATTTAGTTCCCACCTGCCATTAACAAGCTGTGTGATCCTCTGCAAATTGCCTTTCCTACCTTGGTCTGCTTCTCCTTTGCAAAATACGGTCTGCTTTTGACTTATGCTGAACCTAAGTTCAGTAGCCTGAAACTCTCTGGGCACCAAGCTTCAATAACATGTGACATTTTCCACATTCAGTGCAGCTGGAGAAGAATTCTCATCATTTTTGGTTTTTGTTGCAGGCAATGGTCTAGTGTCTACTGGTCCACTGAAGCCCCACTTCAGTCCCCTGCCCCCAGATCCCCATCCCACTCCCTGATCTGCCCTGACCCAGGGTGACTTCATGGGTATGCAATGTGGGTAGTTGCACAGGGCTCTGAATACAGAAAGTCCTCATGCTTGGTTTTGCTTTGCTGTCACCATCTTGAAATTCTTAATAATTTTTGAACAAGGGGCCTGCATTTTCATTTTGCACTGGCATTCACATATGATGTAACCTGTCCTATCCTAGCCCCTTATACCCCCAAGTCCCAAAGCAATAGAGAACTAAGAAGCACTAGGCAAAGGAAAACAGTGGTGCAGCTTTGCCACCCATTAATGGAGGGCTCCCATGGCAGAGCCTTGTCATGAAAGTCCGTGCCTTATAAATATAAAATCAAAGAAAGGGCAAGGTGGGAGAATACGAAACCTGCCACAGTTCCCGCCCCTATCAACCTTCCCTGTCTTGGGTGGGTTAGAGGCCTGACTCATGCCCAGGGTGTGGCTCACCAGTCCTGCTAAGCATGGGGCTTGTCTTTGCTCATAGAGCTAAGGAGGAAATGTGGGTTGCCCTGGAGTGGGTGTGGAAGCCACCCAGTCACCACTCCACCTCACAGAGCTGAACAGGATCTTCAGGCAGACCTCAGGCAGCCA